GCTTGATATCTTCCAGACGTAACAGCCAAAAGCGAGCCTATGGGAAGCACCCCGGGTCACGCAGGCTCCATCAACACCACAACACACAAACACCACAAGACACACGCTAAAAAATAATCACACTCTGCGCTACATATCCTAACCGGCTCCAGTGCCTGGAAACTCCAGCCAGCTAACCGAGGACCCTATAATCGGGGCCTCGCTAACACTCCAAACATTATCACAATATCTGAACATTAGTTTGTCTCGTGTTCCATGGTCAGAATTAATTTAGTTTAAAATCCAATAACAAGCAAAACGTGTTTAATATATAAGCCAGTTCTAATGGAATATCTCTCTGCTGCTTGACGTCAATATGACCTCCACTTTAAACATTCATGGAGGACATAACGATCTTGGACAGTGATAAACAAAAGCGTTTCCAGGCTGCATAAACTGAAATTCATCAACGTTTTCCATTAAAGCTCGACCCATCACCAAGCGTCAGCGGAACAAATAAATGAGTCTCATTAGCCATAAATGACTTCTCAGTCACTGCACGCACTGTTTTCTTCTTAGTCTAACAGTCACTCGAGCTTACAGTTAAATCCCATTCGTAGCCTCCAACAACAAGATCGTCAGCATCAGTTATCTCAAACTGGAAGGTGTCATCCGAGATGATCTCAATGACTGGACACACAACAGTTGACTGGTTCCTGGCTACTCGGTCCAACAGCGGCTCCAGCCAACCTGGTCAATCGGGGTCAGTCAGTCTTTATCAAGCTGGGATAAGGTTGTCAATGAGTAGCGTTTTCTGTGTGGTTAATGGTCACAATAAGGAGTCCCAAAAGCAATGTTACTGGGCATATAAACACACACATTCAACAACAGTATCAACAGAGACGAACAGTAAATTACGAAGTTATCAAAGTTTGAGACTTAGAACTCCTGCCAACGTAACTATTGACGTTACTTGTGCTGGGGTATAATTACCTTCCCTTAACGACTTGCCTACACTGACCTCTCGCTGGCCGCCCATGTACAAGATGCGCGCGCACACACACACACACACACACACACACACACACACACACACACACACACACACACACACACACACACACACACACACCTGCGGAAGCTCTCAGTGTTAAGGCCACAGTGTTAGCACCCAGAGCTTTCCTTACTGTTTATGTCAACCAATCCACCTGAAATAATAGTACTTACAGCTGCGATTTGCTCGAAAGTACCAATATGTGGTGATGGACCATCACTGAACTACTGTTTGTACTATTAATGTTAGGGAATCCCGAAAAAATAGTTAAAACGACACTTGCATATTCCTAGGCCTAGTGTAGCACATATATGTACTATATTAGACCTAAGATAGCGTATATTAGACCTAGAGTTGCTAGGAGAGGTAAGGTACTATATTTATGTTGCTGCGAAAACCACACACACACACACACACACACACACACACACACACAAAGATTTGTCCAAATTCAATGATACAAAAGTCAACTTTCTGGTGGTCCATCACAACATATTGTTACTGTCCACCAAATACTTCAAGTTCTATCATTTCTGGAGGATTTGCTGGTTTAATGTAGCACCTTTAGGTTGTTAGGGACGGTACTTATGGTCAACTCAACCCCACTGACGTGACAGGTCAGTGGGGGTTGGGTCACAAGCTTCACATAGAAGAACCGTTTATTAACAGCGGGTCTGGAGCGTGTACATTATTGCTAGCCATGCTAATACTTTGTTAATACGGCTTATGTATTCCTGTTTTGTAAATCATTGGGCAACATTAAACATACAATATATATTGTCATTTTGGACCCCGTGATCGACAAGTTAACATCACGTGTTAGTCCCGTCACAATATTTTTATTACAAGCAAAATATAACTGCTGAAACTTAAGACTTTTAACAAAGAAGACAATATATCATTAAATATATCATCCCTGCCTCACCTTAATGTTATCTTGCATGTGGACGCAGGTGTCTATAATCTTTGACGCAACCCACAAAAGGTTTCCGGGATGTGTAAGAAAGCAAACTTAGACATGAACTTTTCCATTAAAACTCGACCCATCACCAAGCGTCAATGAAACAAACGATTCTCATCAGTCAAAGAATTTCCAATTCACTGCACGCATTGCTTCCTCCTTAGGCTAAGTCACTCAAGCTTACAGTTAACTCCCAATCGTAGCCTCCAACATTAACCCCTTCGGGATCAGTACTGTCAAGCTGGAAGGTGTCATCCGAGATGGTCTCAATGACTGGACACACAACAGTTGACTGGTTCCTGGCTACTCGGTCCAACAGCGGCTCCAGCCAACCTGGTCAATCGGGGTCAGTCAGTCTTCTTTATCAAGCTGGGATAAGGTTGTCAATGGGTAGCGTTTTCTATGTGGTTAATGGTCACAATAAGGAGTCCCAAAAGCAATGTTACTGGGCATATAAACACACACATTCAACAACAGTATCAACAGAGACGAACAGTAATTTACGAAACTATCAAAGTTTGAGACTAAGAACTCCTGCCATCGTAACTATTGACGTTACTTGTGCTGGAGTACAATTACCTTCCCTTAACGACTTGCCTACACTGATCCTCTCGCTGTCCGCCCATGTAGAATCTGCACACACGCACCTGCGGAAGCTCTCAGTGTTAAGACCGCAGTGTTAGCACCAAGAGCTTTCCTTACCGTTTATGTAGCATCTTCAGGTTGTAAGGGACGGTACTTATGGTCAAGTCAACCCCACTGACTCGACAGGTCAGTGGGGGTTGGGTCACAAGCTTCACATAACTGAACCGTTTATTAACAGCGGGTCTGCAGCGTGTACACTATGGCTAGCATGGCTATACTAAGGTATATAATATTAGCATGATACATAATATTAGCATGGCTATACTATGGCTAGTCGTGCTAATATTTTGTTAATAATGTATTCCTGTTTTGTATATCAATGGAAAAATTAAATTTAAAATAGTCATTTTGGACCTCGTGGTCGACAAGTTAACATCACGTGTTAGTTCCGTCACAATATATCACATAAGCAAAATATAGTTGCCAAAACTTAATATCAGACTTTTAACAATAAGACAATATATCATTAAATATACCTGCCTCACCTTAATGTTATCTTACATGTGGGACGCAGGTGTCTATAATCTTTGACGCAACCCACAAAAGGTTTCCGGCATGTGTAAGAAAGCATACCAGAGTCACTGACCTTCTCCTCCTTCAAACTACTCCCATCACCAAGTGTCAACTCAAATGTGATTTCCAGAAGCAATAATTGATAAAACACTCCACGCAACATCTGTCCTCGAAGCTTACAATTAAATCCCACTTGAAGCCACCAACTATTACACCGTAGATATCTGAGAAGTGATACTGGAAGGTATCATCTGAGATTGTCTCGATAACCGGACACACGACATTCGTTGGGTTCCTGGCTATTCGGTCCAACAGCGGCTCCAGCCAACCTGGTTAATCAGGCCACTGGGTCAATATTCGGTCAATCAGGCCCGCGGGCGGGTCAATATAACACTACATTAAACCGGGTCACAAAGCAGGGCAGTTAATACAGTTTAAACATACTAAGCAGGAAAAAGTCGAACATTTTCACTACGGCAGCTTGTAGATTTTCCTCAGGCGATGATCTTTGCTATAAGGAACATAAAGATTAATTATGATTGGCTCCTATTGGCACTAGATTAAAACATTCCTGAATGTTGTTTCAGGACACCACATACAGTGGGACGGACAAGTGTATGGTAACTGCTGAAGATTATTGCCTCAGCACGTAGCCAAGGCGCTACACAAGCCTCCTCCAGCAGCCTGGACACAGGAGAAGTTCCTGTAGTTCAGATGCTGTTAAAAGGACAATGTACACAGTGTTAATGATAAATTGTCACTGCTAATTATTATAAAGCGTCTGGTGTATACATTGTATAAAGACAAACCTGACAATGAACAAAGTATGCAGAAGGCAAGTCACAAGAACGTATCTGAAAAAAACACATTCTAACCCCACACATTTGAAATGAGTGAGGACGTTTCCGACGTTTCGGTCCTTGCTGATAAAGGTCCGGGACGAACCAAACCGTCGCCAGTCATATCATATGTGGGTTATAATGCGTTATTAGTCAAACATACTGAATATACTTATATACATCAGCATTATACATATTGTATGTGGAGACAACATGGTGATCAAACGGCAGCTGGTAGTTAGTCAACCTGAAAAACAAAGATAACTGACCCTGCCTAACCCGTGCAATAAAACATTAAAAAAGCGGAACTGAAATGAAGAAAATAGAAGTGGATAAAAACACCACCAGCGATGCTTGCTGCCAGCAGTTCTAACATGCCAGCCCAACAAGACCACCTTTGGAAACATGGTACCATCTATTATTATCCATCAGAGCTGCGCAGAGCCATACCAGAGAGACCTGCACCGCGCGCCACTTATCACAACTTTTTCACAACATGCTCCTGTACACACGACCTCTCAAAGCGGTAGAAACAACATCTGACTGTTGGCAACTAAGCCCTGCACTGGGTCCATGACAAGCATATATACAGACAGAGGGGGTGCTCTTAAGAGCCTCTGGATGATCACTTGGGTTAGCAAGGGGGATGCAAGCCGCCACCGGGTTAGTGTGGGGAGGGAGGGGGGGAGGACCATGCCGAGAGTTGACCGCAGCCAAGGCGGCAAGCAGCCCAGTTCACCGTTGGTTTGTGTGTTAATGTGCGTGTTAATCCTTGTTGCCTTAGGGAGGGTGATCCAAACCGGTTAACTGAAGCACGGTAAATGAGAAGAGGTGTAACCAAATCCTCGGCTTTAGCCTCACCGTCACCCATGCCTTTGTTAAGATGCTAATGGAAATGCCAAATGATTAGGGGGGGGGGGGGGTTAGTGGGGTTGGGTTATGATGGGAGAGATGTGGTCATGGTAGGCGTGTGCCATGAGCGTGCACATGAGGCACCCGGGGGTCACACCTGGAGGTTCCAGTCGAAGCCACCGACATTGACCCCGGAGGAGTCGCGGTAGTGGTACTCGAAGTTGTCATCGGAGATAACATCAATGACCGGACACACCACAATGTGGGGATCCACAGCGATACGCACCAGGAGCGGCTCCAGCCAACCTACAGGTGCCAAGCCATTACCACATCAGTGCCAGGTTATGCACCTTATAATGTAACCCCCCAGTATATTATATATATATTTATTTATTTGCAGAAGTGTAGGTATACTCGAGTTGTATTGAATAACACTTGGCCATTTAGTTTGTTTTCACTGGTTGCCAACTGGTGTGGGGGGAAGAGACAAATTAAAGGGGTTCCGGGCTCCAGTGACCAATGGGTGCCAAAAACTTAAAAAACCTGGTGATGTGGATCACATGGGAGTGAGGGAGAGAGGGGGGGGGGATGTATTTACTATTTGTATCTGCAGAATCGAGCTATTAGCTCTTGGACCCCGCCTTTCTTACTAATCTATTTTTCCTCTATTATGTCTACTATATATATTTCTAACACACACACACAATCAGCAGCCCGTAGCAACTGTAACTCCCAGGTACGTATTTACTACTGCTAGGTGAGCAGAGCATCAGGGTGAAAAACACTGTCCATTTGTTTCCGCCTCCGCCGGGGAACGAACCCGGAGCCTTTAGGACTTTGACCCCAGAGCGCTGTCCACTCAGCCGCGTGGGTGTGCGCGCGCGTACTCACCTAGTTGTACTCGCCTGTAGCGAGCTGTTCTAGGGGGGTGGGGAGGTGCGCGTGCGTGCGCGGGGGGGGGGGGGGAAGGACGTTAACAAAGCCGCCATGATTAAGGATGTACGGGTTTCGTAAATGGTTGAGTAAATGAATTATGTATTCTGGTCCTGGTGTGTACACTCTACATGTTCTTGTCATTGTTTTGGTCCGTTGTGTTGCATTGACTTTTGCGAGTTGTGCAAGATAAGCTCTGTTACAATATTTAAACATACCCATTGTTTGTTCTCGTAGTTCGTGTGTGTTTTGGGTCCTCAAGTACCCTCTGCATTTGTAATTATTTTGTACCCCCCTGATCTGAATTTTTCTTGACAACATTTTCCTTGTTGACGGCGGCAAAGAGTGACCTGGAAAGGTGAGCGCACATGCTGCTCTTGCCCCCCCCCCTTCCTTCTCGTACCTCCCTCCCTGCCTCCCTCCCTGCCTCCCTCCCTCCCTCCCTGCCTCCCTCCCTCCCTCCCTCCCTCCCTCCCTCCCTCCCTCCCTCCCTCCCTCCCTCCCTCCCTCCCTCCCTCCCTCCCTCCCTCCCTCATCCCTTTCCTTGCATCCCTCCCTCCTTCCCTCATACACCACATCGCTCCCTCGCTTTCCCTCTTCTTCCTCCTCTCAGAAAATCCTCTCCATTTTCTATTGTCACGCTGTTATGGTTAAACTTGCACATTAGGAATGAACATCCCTTGAATGAGAGATACTCTAGAGGTACTCGCAGGTGCTCTTTAATTATAAGCGTATACCTTTCCTGTTTACCGATAAATTAGTTCCTGTTTAGCGACGCGTTCATTCCCGTCTGAGACGTAGCAGTGTCTTGAAGATTAGAGGGAATAAAGCTACAAGTTATTGAGGCATTAGTAGGGACAAAAGCTTCTGGTAATTTAGGAAGTGAATTAAGCAGTTAAAGTGGTTTAAGTATTGATTTAAGTATTAAGTATGAGTACCAAGGCTAGTGAAGTTATTGTGATTGTAGTGAAGAGATTGAGTACTGAGGTTGGTGAAGAGTAGAGTTGAGGGTCACAGTGGTGATTATAATACCAAGTTCAGTGTATTCGTTCATTCAGAATTAAAGTTGTTTATGCAATTTTTCCAATTCTATACATTTCCAATAACTTATTGTTACAATTCATTCACAGTCCTAACCATTCACATTCTTTCCGGTTCACTCCAAATCACGAAAATTAATTCACATTCCACCAATTACGTTTCCCATTCATTCCTAATCATTCTCATCTATTACAAAATGCCTTCCGGAAGAGGGGGGATACTACAGACACCTTCCGGAAGAGGGGGGATACCACAGACACCTTCCGGAAGAGGGGGGATACCACAGACACCTTCCGGATGAGGGGGGGGGTATACCACAGACACCTTCCGGATGAGGGGGGGGTATACCACAGACACCTTCCGGATGAGGGGGGATACCACAGACCTTCCGAACAACGTGACAAGATCCTCTATAACAGACATGAACATTAGTGGACGTTTAATGAATCATTTTAACCGTCAATTGCTATGCACCAGAAAGCTAAGAAGTACCTTTAATATAATAATATTGTGACGACTTATTTTACATTTGTATTTTCTGGAGGAAACACTACTCGCAATTGCATGCAACAAAACTCGCGAATTATCAAAGGGAACCTAGAATAAATTTATCTATTTATATATGAATAAGGCAAGAAAACAATTATTGAATCACTATCACTGAAAACATTTAATTCAGTAGCTGAATGTGTTTAGGCGCCCTATCAACTTTAAAGGAGAGAAGGGCCTGAGAAGAATATGATCACAACGTACAAAATACCGAGAGAAAATATCACTGGGACAGGGATACACTACGACAGAAAACGGGACAACAAGAAATAGAAGCTGGAAACAAATGCGCCGGAGAAATAGAATAAAACTCTCTCAAGCTGCCCCAAATAGCAAATAAGAGCAGTAAATTTAAATAAGAAGTCTTGTAGTCCACCTTTGTCCATTACGTCAATAATACGACAGGATCTCGAACGTCAAGATAATTATAAACGCATCAGAAACAGTTTATATCCCCCTGCAAACATTGATAGGGAAATATTGATAAGGAAGCACAACCGTATAAGGGCCAACCAGAGTTGCATCACAACTACACCATTCACGTAGGCATCCATCAGTCTCAGGAGACTATGGAGTTGCGCTCTGGTTGTCGGTCTGGAGTGCCCTCTCCAGGGCACAAAGGTTGATACAGGGGAGAAACTCTCATCACGGCAATCATATTCAACTCCCGTGCACACACACCCACAGAAACATGCTTCATAAATGTCCTCACAGCCTCATCACCCCCACAGCCTCGCCCAACACATCTACAATGGTATCCATTGTGTCGAAATTAACTTTAAAAAGTCCATAATTTTTAAACTATGGTCAACAACAGGTGTCAGAGATGGAAGGATTTAAAAAAAAAATCCATTAAACTGCGACCCATGAAAACCGAGTAGTATACCCTAATCTACGCGTAAAACATTCGTTTTCTATGATAAAATGATTCATCCATTTTCTCTAATAAAAATTGTGGGTTAAGTATAGTAAATTAAGGAAAAAGATCAGAGCCGATTCTTCGTATTTAGAGGAGACTGCTGAAATGAGAAATCAGCCAAGAGAATTGCTGAGGTAAAGAAACTGATGAGAAAGTTGCCGAGATGTGGAAACTGCCGAGAGAAGTGGTGAGGTGAGGTAACTGCCGAGAGAATTAATTGGAGAGATGTAAAGAATTAGTTTGATAAGAAACATGTTATGGTAAGGATATTTGTTCATTATCTGGAGACGTGTTGAGACAGGAGTCTTCCCGTAGTGATGAGGCGCAGCTGGGGGGGGGGGGAAGACAGTACTGTTCAAAAGGTGTTAATAAAACAAGGAAATACTACAGAGCTGACAGACCCCACTAATGGATCAGGGAATAAATGCTAGAACATGTAATCTGGTAACATTTCTAAAAACGAGGGGAAATTTCCTGGAAAGAGAGAAACCCTGAAAAGATGGAAATTTCCTGGAACGAAGACACATTTCCTAGAATAAGGAGAAATTTCCTGAAACAAGGTTAGCATCCTAGGGTAAGAATTAAAGAATTAGGGTTAAGAAATAAATACCTCAGGTGAAGGCACATATATATATATATATATATATATACATATATATATATATATATATATATATATATGTGTGGTGGAGGAAGGCAAACGTTGCTGAAGAGGGGAAATCTGGGAGGGTAAGAAAAAAAAATCAAGAGTTAGGGAGAATATATTGGGGTAAGGAAACTTATACCCCGATGCAAGTTAGAGTGATGGCTGTAGGAAAATAGTGTCCGAAGGGGTACAGTGAAATGCTGAAGATGGGGGGGGGGGAAATACAGTCAGCGGTCTGGGTTTCGTGTGTGTGGAGGGGGGGGGGAGGTTGGTGCCCCCCTACAGAACCAACAGCCTGGTGTCTACAGCGGCTTGATTCGTCTGATTCTTTTTCATATGGCACGTTGGGGGGGGGGGGAAGGCAAGTTTAGGGAAGTATCAGGGGGAAAACACCAAGCCATTACGACTATATATATGGCTTGGCACTTTATTTCCCCTGGAGGGGAGGGGAAAAAACCGGACCATAGCATTTAAAATTATAAGGTCTATCACAGTTTTTTTTAAGGTTGAAAATCCTTAAGTTCTGGAACGATTTTACCTTTGTGGTGTTCCTTTTGGTGATCTTATCTGAAGGTTCCATTGTTCCCCCGCCCGTCCATACTTACACACGCCTCAGGGAAATTAGGCTGCGTCTGTGTGTCTTGTGCTCAAGGGTTAGTGTGTGTGTGTGTGCACAGTCACTCTTCCGTCCAGCACAAGAGTGCTCGCTCTTGTGCTCTACCCATCCACTTGACAGCAAGTGGATAGGTCAGAGCTTGTGGGATGGATGTGCAAGACGCCGACACCATTTTGCTATTTTTTTATATTGTTATTCAATTATGAAATTCAAGCAAACAATGTTGCAGACCCATCGAGGGTCACTGCAACCCCCATTGTCAATACCACCACCACAACCACCCCTCCACCTTAATTAACCCCACAACAACCAACCCCTTACCTTCAATACTTCTACCACAACCCTGACCAACCCACCCAGCCCCATAACCCCCCAACCCACCCAGCCCCATAACCCCCCAACCCACCCAGCCCCATAACCCCCCAACCCACCCAGCCCCATAACCCCCCAACCCACCGAGCCCCATAACCCCCCAACCCACCGAGCCCCATAACCCCCCAACCCACCGAGCCCCATAACCCCCCAACCCACCCAGCCCCATAACCCCCCAACCCACCCAGCCCCATAACCCCCCAACCCACTCAGCCCCATTGAATCATACC